GGTTCCTTTTTTGGATATTGAAAGTGGGGAAAGTTGTGAATCTCATTGACCAAGAAACCCTTTTTTTTCAGATTTATGTGGGGACTAGGAAAAGTCTCCTAGGTGGGTAAATTAATTTTCCTGTCTTAGGAAGGTTGCCAATACTTGGATGGGACAAAAATGCCTCTTTTGATAATAGAATTTTCATAACTAAAATGATCATTATTTTTTTTACCTGAAAACTAAAAGAACATGGGTAAATGCACTTGCCCAGATAAGTGCATTTACCTGGATAAATAACTTACCGAAAATCAAACAAGGCATAAGTTGTAAGAAAATCCTGGTTCTGATTTATAGTTTTGTCTCTCATAGTTTTTTTTGAAGAACTTTACTGAGATACGACATATTAGGGCTGTCAATGGATTTCAAAATTCTAAAACACAATCCAATTATATGATTCAGACAATCCACTTACAAGGGCAAGGTGGGTTTTTGGTTGAGACGTAGCCAATTTAACCAGTTCGGCTTTGGTTGGTTGAGCCAACCTTTACTGAACCCAACGCAATGACATCCTAAAACCTATTTCTGCCACTTAAGTATGATGTTCTGCTTAGGGTATGTTTGGTACTGTAACTTGTTTAGTGCCAATTAGAAATCGGGAAAGTGAAACTTTTTGGCACACCAAATAGCTTATTGTGATTTTAAATACATACCCTATTGGAGGAAATGTCTTCCTCCAACGCTCCAAGACACATTACTTTATACAAAAAGTGGTATAGACATTAGAAATTATCTATCTAGCCAAACGCAAATTTCATACCATAAAATCAAAATACCAATATGGTGCTTAGGCTCCTTTTGGATGAGAGTAAATGCAAACACAATTGATTATAGTTTTTATTCTACCATTCTAGCTACCAAGATTAATGTTCATTTTCTAAAGAGGCATTTGTTCCTGCAATCTAAGGAGGCGTTCTACAATATGAATGTTTTTGTTTTCATTTGCTTTTGGAATTACCACATCAGAAAAAAATAAAAGAAATAATTTTTTGAACTCTGTTTTTGTTTTAAAAGGGAAAATAACTTGGTTTTGTTTCAAAAATAATAATACATGTTTTTGAAATCAACAAAATATTGGGTTTTAAAACAAAAACAAAAATTTTCTAGTACAGAAATTATATAACTTATGGAACATGTGTTGAAAAATCAGATGAAAATATGTTTTTGAAACCCAATCCAAGAACATGTTTTTGGTTTTAGTTTTGAAAACAAAAAACACATACTCAACCAAACATGCTTTTTGTGTTTTTGTTTTTAAAAAGTAATCTGTTTTGAAACGAAATGGTTTTGATTTGTTTTTAGAACAGGCAAAAAGAAAAACAATTCACTTTGTAGCCACTATTTCTAAGGAAAAATGAGAAACTTGTTGATGGGCGAATCAACTATGGCTAACTATCCATTGAACAACTATGGCTAAATGGCCAAAAGAGTGGCTATGTTGAAGCTTGAAGGTCAAACACATTGGTCTTAAAGATCAAGCTCTAAATATCTCTCACCTCGACTTTTAGGAGAATCCACCTATAAGTAGCCACATTCTCTAGCAATTTATGTTCATTGCAAATGTGCGAAAAACACTTGTGAGGTTTTGGATGATGACCAAATTAGAAGGCAAGTCTTAGAATGGGTAGCTTTGATTTTTCTAGGGATACAAAATTGGCCATGTCATACCACGTGGATGACTAGTGAGTTACGACATAACAAAATTCCCATAATACAAATATTTACAGCCTAAGGATCTTATATTCTTTGTATATTTGTTTGTTTTTATCTTTCTCTTTCATTTTATTTTCTGTTAAAGTGGTACTAAATAAATATGAGCTCCGGTCTTTGAAAAACAAAAAAAAAAGAGTTTGAAAACAATCCTAAAATCCAAATAATCAGGAATAACTTTTTTTGGGTTATTTTTCAAGTTCTACTTATAGGGAAGCTGTTTGGAGTGTAACACTTCTGTGCAGTACAGGCTTGTGCATTTAGCCTGTGGCAAATGTTCCATTAGTTGTGTATGGATACCATGCATATGAGCCCACACACATGTAATGGGATAGTGACAATGCAAAAACAAGTTCAGTATGAACAAGTGCATAAATTAAAATCAATTAATACTGCCAAAAACATTAAAATCAATACTATGTCATTTGGTGTTATGAATATTGGGAGACTTGGACCAATGTTTGTTAACATCTTACTTATTATTTATCACTAGCATAAGAGCATGTGTTAGGGAATTTTAGATTGGAAGGTTTTACAGTTATTAGTTTCTACTTAAAAAAGTTCATTTATCCAAGTAGGAGATGAATGTCACTTACCTCGACCTAAGTGATAGTTAGGCCAATCCATTCCATTGATCAAGATGTTCATGTTCTTTTTTTTTTAAATTTGTGTGGGGTCCATTGAAAGTTTATTTTCCTTGGGTACCACTTAGTCTCCCAGGTGGGTAATTAACTTTCCCACCTGGGAGGAAAGCTGCCAGCACTTGGAATGGGGCATAATTGCCCTATTTAATAATGGATTTTTATGATTGAAAGTCATTTTCTTGTTTACTTCGGAAATAAAAGAAAATGGGTAAATGCACTTACATGGGTAAGTGTTTCCTTAGGTAAGTAACTTCATGAAAAGCAAACCAAGCCTAAGACCCACAACTTATTGAAAAGCGAATACAAGAAAATTGGTTAACAGGAGACACTTTCTTGGTGATCAACTTTCCCCCTCTTATCTCTTGGAAAACAAATGAGGCCTTATGGGTAAAACACTTATCCATAGGACTCATTGTTAGCAAAAAAGCAACTTGAGATTATTGATCATAGGAACAATTTTCCATTGACCAACCCCTCCCAAAGTCCCATGTTGGCAACAACCACATAAACCTCTAATGACATGGCAGGGATTTTTATAATTTAAAATGTACAACTAGCTATTAGAGTTGTATTGGTTTTTGAACCATCCTACACTATAAATTTAAATGTACAGCTCGTTCTAACTATAACTTTCCCAAAAGAATAAAGTAATTTTACTCTATAAAAACGTTAGGTCTAGTGAAGTTTAAAAAGTCAAATATGGCATTTTAAATTATATTGAAAGATTCCCTACTACCTTGTAAGGATAATTTTGTAACTTTAAAATATTCATTACTGGAACAAATATGGAAATATGGAAAGGAGGTAACTACATGTTTTTGATAAATTACAGAGGAGTTTAGCTTAAAGAATTTAAGAATTTAAGAGAATTTTAGCTATATTAGGAATTTAGGATGCTTTAGTGAACCTTTAAAAGTATAACTCTGAGAGTTTTAAAGTTATCCATCATACATAGATGATAAAACACAATAAGAATGATGATCCAAAAGAAAAATAGGGCAAAATACAAAAACCTCCCCTGAAGTTTCTGACAATCATAAAAACCTCTTTTATGGTTTCACTTTAGCAAACACCTCCCTTAGATTTTCAAAGAATTTGACAAAAACCTTCCTTTTGTCAATGACCAAGACGAAAAATGTTAAATCGCTTAATCATTTTTTAAATACCTATTTTACCCTTATCAGCATGTTATCCCCTTTTCCTCTCTCGCTGATCTCTTTCTTCTTCAACTGGCCATACCTTCCCAACTCCATTTGTAGTCCTCCACTTTCAACATCCAAGGTTCATGTCTGAACTCGACATCCAAATTCTTGCAGCCTTCCATCCCTTTATAAAGGCAAATGATAAGGACTCAGGCATTGGGGCAAAGGAGTATGTGCATGTGCATATACAACAAAGAAATGGTCGAAAAATCCTAACAGTGCAAGGTTTGAGGAAGGAATTCAGTTACTTCAAAATACTCAAGGATCTAAAGAAGGAATTTTGTTGCAGTTGTACTATTGTCCGGGACCCAAAGCTAGGCCAAGTTATTCAACTTCAAGGTGATCAATAGAAGAATGTGTCGACATTCCTCGTTCAGGCCTGAATTGTGAAGAAGGAACATATCAAGATTCATGGTTTTTGAGTAGCAAGCAACAGACTTGTCCCTGCATTATCATACTTTACGCATGTCAGCAAAGAACTCCATTGTCCGAAGAGGAGGGACACAACATTGATTTCAGCAATCCAAACCCATTATTTATCTCTCTTTTTTTCTCCTCCTTCATCACTGTCCATACACAACATCGAGCTGCCCCCACACAGCCCGAATCTCCATCACAAATACAACACCACCGTTGGAACCACGGTGGTCGCCATCCCCAACCAAGCATCGTCTAAAGAAGAAGACAGGCTGTTAAATTTGCACTCAAATCGATGGTGACGACTGTTGGTCAGATTCAAACACCAAACGGAGATTTGGAAAGAGAGAGGTCATGTTATGTTATGAGTTATGATCATTCTTCAATTTTCATTACATTTTACAGGATAGTTGATGGTTAACTTGCAACCTCCGCTTTTCCAGTATAGCAGTGTATGGTCCCTCAAATCTCAATCAAAGATTAATCAGATTCCATGTTCTATTTAGTTGGAATACGGCTGGATTAATTTCATGTTCTTGAGATTAAAAGAGAGAGCTAGATTAATTTCATGCGTTGGAATACAACACCGAACCGCCCCACAGAGAGGTGGTTCCAATGGTAGTTTGATGTATTGTGTAGGGACGGTGAGGAGGGAGGAGAAGAAAAGAGAGCTGAATAATGGGTTTGGATTGGTGAAATCAATGTTGTGTTCCTATTCTTCAGACAATGGAGTTCAGGGGTAAAAAGGTCAACGGGAGAGGAAAGAGGGTTTGCATCAGCCCCCCACAGAGTTGCCCCCCAAATACATCCCACGCATTGTGGGTGCGTCGCGTGTCCGCCTACACATGGATTAAAGAAACTTGTGCAGAGCTAACTGGACGGCCGTTAGCTCCGCCCCATTAACTCCCTCTTGCCCAAAAGGGCATCATCCCCATTAACTCCCTCTGTGTTCGTATCCTCTTTCTCCAGACTCTAATCTCAGAGCTAAAACTCAGGTCCTGAACTAGTTGACGGATTCTATATTGTGGTCCTGGCTAACTCCGAGCTTGGACTGGTCCTTGGAGACATGGGTGAAGAAGTGGTTTGCAAGAAGTTCAAGGTTGTTGTCTCAGTTGCCCAATTCTTTTTGGTCTCCCAAACAGAGCATTTGTCAGGGAACCCTTTGTATTCGACCAAGGCGCAATTCTGCGATATTGGGATGACCCACGACATTTTGATCAAATGCAGCGGAGAAGACGAAGGGTTGAAGTATCTAGTGCTATCAGTCTGTATCGATAAAATGAAGGTAATTCGAGTGAAGAGGTTGCAGTGGAATTTCAAAGGGAACCAGACCATCTTTGTTGATGGGTTGTTGGTTGATATGATGTGGAATGTTCATGACTGGTTCTTCAATCCAGACTCTAGATATGTTGTTTTTATGTTTAGGACAAGAAGCGGGTTGGACAGCCAGTTGTGGTTGGAGGAGAAGACAACGCAGAAGGACCAAGAGAGAGTTGATTTTTCTTTGTTGATCTATGCCTATAAGAGCCCATAAAGAAATTTCTTGTTTCCATTTTTTTTTCAATTTTATTTTCTCTCACTCTTTCAATTCTCCTTCTTCTGAGGAGAGTGAATGTAGTTAATTCATTTGATGATGATTATAGGAAAGAAAAAAAAAACAGAAAATACTTGGTGATGACATTTTGGTTTTTGAGTTGCAGACATGTGTATTGATAGAACTTGAAATTGGTTGGTTTTGATCATACTTGGAGTTGTTTCTTTTCATCTCTTTCTTTCTTTTTCTATCTGAATTCTAAGTTTCTGACCCACAAGTTTTTATCTTTTCCCGTTTTCCATGGGAGGAAGTGGACACATCAATTTAGATTCTCGAAGGAAAGAATTTTATTTAGTGTAACTATAACAACACTAACAGCACTGGTAGTGGCATTTGGTATGGTCGCCATGAGAAGCAAACAACAAGAAAAGGATAAAAGGAAAAGCCGCCCAAACCCCAAAATGAGCTTTTGGGGATCTCGAAAAGATTTCAGTGGTTCCTTTTAGGAGAAAAAAAAAGGAATCACAGTCTCTAGTGGTGGTAAACTGGTAATGTTTGATTCGCGTTCATGGCCTACATCACCAATGGAAGTAGTTAATTTTTTTGTGAAAAAGAAGGAAAAAGTTGTAAAGATTGCAGGTGAGAAGCTTTTTAGGGGAACCATCTATACGGAGAAATCAGTTGGTTTTGTTACAGTGAAGCAAAACAAAGTCAAAACAAACAAACTCGAAGGGGGCTCCCACTCTGGCGAGTTTCAGATCTGAGAACGGTAGAAAATGAGAAAAAATAAAAAAAAATGTAAAAAATGAGAAAAACTTACAGCATCTACCGGCGGGACTCGAAGGAGGGCAATCTCCGATGGGTTACGGAAGGTGGAGGTTTAAGCTCTGAGATTAGAATCTAGAGAAAGAGGATACGAACACAGAGGGAGTTAACGGGGATGATGCCCTTTTGTGCAAGAGGGAGTTAGTAGGGCGGAGCTAACGGCCGTCCTATTAGCTCCGCACAAGTTTTTTTAATTCGTGTGTAGGCAGACACGCGGCGTGCCTACAATGCGTGGGATGTGGGATGTATTTAGGGGGCAACTATGTGGGGGGGCGGATGCAAACTCGAGGAAAGAGTATAACGTGTCAATAAGGGTATTATTTCAATAAAAATAGATACAAAATAATTCTTCTGTTTAGTGTTTTCCATCTTAGATATTGATTAGAAGGGAATAGGAGAGGTTTTTACCGGTAAAATACTGAGAGTGATTTTTATGATTGTCAAAAAATTTAGGGAAGGTTTTTGTATTTTACCCAAAAAAAAATAAGTGAGTGGTGGGATAAACCACGAATCTCACAGGTAGTGTGGCAAGTGGTGACCCACCACCACGCACTAAATGCACTAACGCCGGATAGCAAGCAGTTGCTCTGATTTCCCTCCAAAAAAGAAGATTTGTTTAATCTAGCTGCAGATACAAAATATTGGTATTCTTTGTCAATCCCACGTATTCAACTCAACTTAACCCATGGTCATGGATCCTAATCGGAAGATTCACTTTTTCTCCACATCATTTGATTGAAAAGGTATTTCAGGTTTCACCGAATGAACGTTTCAGATTGAGAAACGTATATTTCATGGGCCAAGGTTGTCGTAACATACCCCCGATGGGTGTATAGGCCCCACTGCGGTGTAAACCGTAAACAAAACAAAAGGAGGTGGGGCCAGAGCCCAGGGGGGATTATTGAAGTATTGTCTTGAGTCCTTGACTCTTGATTAATAATAATTATTATTAATTTATTTTAATCAGTGGTGGTGGTCAGTGGTCACCATACCTGATTCCTGATTCCTGAATGCTGATTCCCCCCAAAAACCGGATTTGGGAAAGGAGACGTTAGAACTTAGGAGGGGCAATTCAGTCAAATACTTTTCCACTGAAAAACGGCAGGTGCCTCTTCTGACGGATACACTGAAGAATTTCCTCCCCGTCTCGTTTGTTTTAATGCTCTCTGCGGAACAAATTACACCAACACAGAGGAGAACCGAGCTCAGACGGAGAAATGGTGACTGATACTGTACTACTGCTACTCTTTTTCCTTTCACACAAATTAAAATCTTGCTTTCCACGGGCATAGAGTGGAACTCTGATACCTGTCACACATTACGAGGCCAGCTCCTACTCAGAATCCACTGTTGCAGATTCCTCCCTCCCGCCCCCTCCCTGTCTTTCTTCCCCATTTGGCTTTTTCTCTTTACAACTTCTCTTTCATCATTTCGTTTCTTCTCGCTCTGCATACCTTTGTTTCCAACCTGAAAAGAGAATACATTTCAGATACCCACTTCGTTTTCCTCATCGGATTCAGGTTTCTATTTGAGGGGAAGATTTTGTGAATCCCCAACTACTGTTATAACAACACAACACGAGGATTTATAAGGGAACGTGAGGTTGCTGTCCTTTTTTTTTTTCTTCTGGGTCTTGTTGGGATTCTGAATAGACGAAGGTTTCTCCAACTGGGTTTTCCGTGGAGAACTCTGCTGGTTTTTCAGCGAGACAAAGGGTTGCTCTGTTCCTTCTAGAGAGAGAAAAAAAGAAAAAAAAAAAACTAGGGTTTGAACAAGTAACAAGTTTTTTTGAGGTTGGTTACATGAAGTGGGTTTTCAGTTATTTCAAGTGGTAATATACTAATACCTGTATTTGCTTGCTTGCTTTCCCTTCTCTCAGAGTGTTGGTTCTTACAGCACAGCAGAAAACGCGTGAAGGTAATTGTTTCCTACTGGGTGGCAATGGAGTTTTGAGAAGAATGGAGTTCGTTTCTTGAAGTGGACTTTCCGTTTCTTTAGCGCGAAATGGGTTGTGCTATCTCTAGAGCTGAAAAGGACGAAGCTCTGCGTCTCTGCAAGGAGAGAAAGAGATTCATCAAACAAGCAATCGATTCAAGGTATGCTCTTGCTGTTGCTCATCTCTGTTATGTTCAATCTCTCCGAAACATTGGTGTTGCTCTTCGTCGATTTGCCGAGACAGAGGTATTGGCGGAATCGTCTCTGTCGACCTCTGCAACAGAGCTGGACAAATCCCCTTCTCACTTCTCATATCCCTCGCCATCTCCTTCTCATAATGCTGAGGCAACTGGTTCGCCGATGCACAACGAAAGCCCCCTTTCACCTCCACCCTCCAACTTGAGTTACATGAGATCAGGAGGAACTGCTGCAGTCACTGTCACTATCAACCCATCTTTTAATAATACTAGTTTTGTAGACGATGAATCTTCGGCATTTCCTCTACCACCACCACCACCACCTCCTGAGACGGACTCATCATGGGACTTCTTCGATCCTTCTGATGAGATGCAGAGCTTCAGGTTCATGGAGGATAATGGGTTCGATTTTGTGAACGGGTTAAGGCAGTTTAGGGAAGACGAGATCGTTCCGTTTTCAGAAGAGTCAGGGAAGAAACAGACAAAGATTGGTTTAAGAAGGAATACATTTGCAGGATCCCTACAGCTAGAATGTGAACAGAGGCCTGGTCAAAGTTCTGGCAATTCAGCAATTGAAAGTAAAGGTAGTGGAGGATTGGCAATCACTAATGGACATTCTTTAAATGCTACTATCTTGGAGAAAAATACACCTGTTTACGAAACTAAGCTACATAAGCCCGACTATAATGCAAATGGTCCAGCAGAAACTTTGTCCAGCAGTGCTGTTTTGGAGAAGTCCATTTCACAGAGGGAGAAGACAGGATCACAGAAAGATTTCTGTGAAGAAAGGGAAGATCCTTCTGAGTTCATCACTCACAGGGCTAAAGATTTTCTCTCTAGCATAAAGGATATTGAGCATCGATTCTTCAGAGCCTCTGAATCTGGAAAAGAGGTTTCAAGAATGCTTGAGGCAAATAAAATCCGCCTCAACTTTTCTGAGAGTAGAGGTATTTTAATTGGCTCTTATATGCATCTATTGATTAGAATCTAGACCAGGCATTAAGATATTAACTCATTTTGTTGATTGAGAGTTACAATTTTTTTTTTACATCCTTCCCAATACAAATGCTACTCATTTGGGTTTATTCTTTTGCTGTTGCAAGATCCTTTTAGAATTCTCACCATCCTAGACATGCAGGGACATCACCTACCTTGGCTTTTCTAGCATCTTTCCATCTAATCTGTTCCAGTGTTAGTACTTCTTATGGTAGGTTTTTACCTACAAGTATACAGGAGATGTCCATTAAAATTAATGTCAGTGCTCATGCATTTACTGTGTTTGTGGTTGGCTTTTTTCACATAGAATAGGAGAATCCTGCCATTTGAGTTATGGTTTCCTGGGTTACCAAAAGCAAAACCAGCTAAAACATATACTTCCATAACTAGTTGAACTATCTGAAGAGTTTAAAGGAGGTATTCTTGTCTGTTACCCAATAGATGGCTCCTAATTGAATTTTGTATGGTGAAACATAAATATTTTGTTTCTACATCAAGAGAACATTTATTCTTGTTTGTTGTCTTACCTAATCTTCCAATATCTATGTAGATCTACAACAAATGACAAAGATAATTACCTGGAACCGCTCAACATCTTCAAGATCTTCTTCATCCAAGAATCCTCTTGCAACAATGTCAAAGGATGACATTGATGACAGCGGGAGTGATTTTGTAGAAGAGTTTTGCATGATTGCAGGCAGTCATTCCTCCACTTTAGACAGACTATATGCATGGGAGAGAAAACTCTATGATGAAATTAAGGTACTTGATTTGATATTGTTAATCCAAATCAGTCATCTTCTTGGTTGATTGGCAATTTGCTTTGACATTCATTTGTAACTAATATTTCATATTCTGAACTTCAATAACACACACATACACACAACTTCTAGCTAAGTATCATGTCCGGAAATTTAGAATGTTGAAATGTTTAAAGATGCATTGTGCATTATCATATGTTAGGTCTTAGTGTTATGGGCCCGCACGTGTCCATAACACTTAGGTACATATCCAGTCTATCCATCCTGGACAGCCAGCCAAGGCCATCATTAGGTAATGCCATATTTGCATTTTATATTTTTAATCTTTACTAGTATCAATACCACTGGTTTGGAGAATCAGTTGAAGATATCCAAGTATACAATTACATAATTTCTTTTCTTATTTGGTGGGACCAAAGCAGTAGTTTTTTTAAAGGAATGCCATCCAGGTCTATAAGTGTTCAGTCTATTGATTTGTTCTCCAGAGTTGGCAATGTTGCATAGTTTTCTGTATTCAGATCAGATATACATGTCCGCATTTACTACAATGAGAAACCTATTTCAGGTTTTCCAAAGTTTCTGTAATAGAAAGTGTTGATAGTAGCGTAACCTATCTTAAATACCTCTTGAATGTAAAGAAGATTCAAGGCGACAATCATTTGCCTATATGCATGTATGTGTACATGTATATAAGATTCATGGTTTCAACTTAAGTTGCCTAGAATTGAAATCACATAATTTTAGACATGTTCTTCGCTTCTGAAAATTTAGAACATCAACCATCGTCATCATCATCCAAGCCTTATCCCAACTATATGGCGTCAGCTACATGAATCTTGTTTCGCCGTTCCATTCTATTTAAGGCCATATCCAGGATGATCGTGTGAATACAAATCAGGATCTATGTCATGGGAGTTTTGGCAAGTTTTAGTGCCATCTGCTAACCTGATGCAACCCTCCTCTTTTATCCAGGATTGAGACCAGCAGTGTAAGACAAGCTCATACTGGCAGAATTAAAATTTAGAACATGAATATCCCACACAATGTGTTGACATCATGATTTTGTTTTTTTTTCCCTTTGAGATACTTATTTTTAATATTTATGTCTTGCCAAATTTGGTGTGTATACACAATTTCATATAACAAGGCTTGTTAGGATGTCATTCCTGTAATTCTGTCAACAATTATGTGAATTAATGGGGCATTAAACAGGGGGGAGGGGGTTATGGTTTGGGGGATGGGCTACCCCCCCTCCCTTCAAATGATATAAAAAAAGGGGCATTAAACAATAATCAGAAGCAATTTTTTATTGCTGTAATAGGAAGCATATTTGGATTGGAGAAACTTGTAATATAGACTCTAGAAGTATTCATGTAACATCTAGTTTCAATATTCATATTGTATTATGTTGTTTTGAGTAAGCTTAGCATGTGATTGGATTATTGAGATCTCAAACATAAAACTGTAACCCTGTTTGTGTGTGATGTAGTACAAATCCACTCATGTTGAACAGGATCCCTGAGATGCAGGATAAATGCCAAATACAGTCTAAGCAAATCTGTAAAATAAACAAAGTTAGAAAGATGGATTAACCTAACAATCAGAACCTAGAATTATCTAGACTCTAGGCATCAACCTGGGAGTCAGCACTTAGCAAAGGATTGAAGCAATTGATAGCTTCAAAGACATACTTAAATTGTAAATTCATTCATTGTGTAATTTAGTAATTTTTTTCTGATGGCAAAAATAAAATTTTTTTAAAAGAAAAAATAGATACACCCAGATGGGTGACAAGGAATCATCACAAACAAGAAAAAAATCATAAAATTGCTAATCTAATCATACAAAATTTTCCAAATTACCCACTTGAAACCCCAACATTTCTCTCTTCTCTCCAATCTTCCTGAGAACCTTGGATCCCAAATAACCACTAAGCCACCCAATAAACCCAAAGCATTCACCTATACCCATTCCCCATAGGCCCCAAATTTCATTTTTCATTCTCAAGTCAAATGTCTCTGGCTTTGTTCTTGCAGCATCACGACATCTGGGTCGAGATTTCTCCGATTCTTCTTCTTTCTTCTCTTGATCCCCTAACATTCCGTGATTCCAAATTCATCTTTAGACTCTGCTTCCACCCCCTCTCCTGATTTTTGCTAATGTCCCCCTCTATTCTTTGTCAAGAATTCCTTCTTCTTCCCACTTCCCCTATAGTTTTTCTTTTACTATATTCTTCCCTTCTGTTTCTCTCAAACTGTTCAATCGCTTTTCTCACTGCCCCCCCCCCACCCCCAGAAAGAAAAGTCCAAGTGATTTCCCAACTTCCACCTGCCTGTCAACCAGAGTGCCCACTTTGTCTCTTCCTATCTGTGAAGATTCCTCAAAAATTCCATCACCCTTCCTATCTCCACTGCAAATCCACTGAGACGTTTCCTCTACAATATTCTGAGAGGAAGGACCTCCAAATGGATTTGAATCTTTAAAACTTCACTCGTTTGGAATCAAATCCTCTTCCTCCTCACAGTTCTTGGTTTGCTGTTGCTTCTTCTTCTGGACTAGATTGTATCACCTTCTCCTGCTGCTCTTCTTGATCGGTGACCTTCCTGCCGTTTTCAAACTTAGTCACCACCCAGACCCATTCATTGTTGGTTTGGTTCCTAAAAGTCTTATCGCTTAGACCTAAAGGAGTTCCCTATATTATTAACTCTTACTCCTTTTGCTAATCAAATTATGACTCACCAACTACTAATTCCTAAATATTTCCAACTCTTATGTAAGAAGGATTACAAAAGGCTTGCATTTCTTGGCAAACAGAAACCAAAACTGATATTCCTGCCTCTACTCAATAGAGAAACCTATATGAAAAGGACTAGTAATTTTAAAACAAAAACATTTTTTTCTAAATAAATCCTTGTTCAGATCCAGAGCTTACTTAAAAGGTCCTACTTGATAACAATTACTAAATAAACTTTGGCTTGTTGATTACTTTTCTTTTTCCTGGTTCATGTTCTCTTCTTTATTAGTGGAAAGATGTAATGATTCAGCATCTGTGCCATTTTTTTCAATTGTAACATTCAAATAAAAATCATGACATTCATTTTTGGAGTCATGAAGCCACAGAAAGTTAAGTAGATATAAAACTAAATATCTTTTTCTCCCAACAGAGTTTCTACTAAAGATTCAAAAATCATTTTGGCTATTATTAGATTTTGATGGGGAAAAAGTATTCTGAGTTGCTACAACCGGTATGTGGGGGACCTTTTTCTATTATCAATGACATTGGTAATTTTCCATCTTAGTGCTAATTTCATAGGCCTACCAGTGGTTGGTATCCCAAGGGGATGGGCTTCCATGGCAAGTTTTTCGCAAAGACAAGATCATGTTGGAATAGGGAGTACAGTTAAAATTGAATTATGAACTGGGCAACCCAGGGCCCTCAGGAATAGGGTGTGCAGTTAGAGATCTCTCTGGAACATATTCATGAGTTTCAGAGACATGTTGAGATTGGGAATTCATCAAGAGCCAAGATTCGTGCTCTTCTTCAAGGTCTGAGAATAGCTTGTTCACTGGAGTGGTCAAATCTGATTGTAGGAGTTTATAGAGTGGTGCTAAACTAGATGGAAAAAAAAAAAAAAAAGAATTGGCGTCCTTGGGTGATCTGACAGATGACCAGGGAAGTTATATTTTTGGCATCCAATTTGAATTTCTTGTTCAAATGGATACCTTGATTAGCTAATACCCTTGCAAGAAATGGAGTAACTGGGAATCAGTTTCTTTAGGGAACACCAGGGCCATGATGGATGTACTTTCATCTTAGTTTAAATTTTGCATGTTCATGGCAGCCTTGAGCTGATTGTATGGCCTTTCTATCCTTTTGGATGCTGAGAAGTTTTCTCAAATTTTCATATTAGTATGATTCAAGGTTAATGACTATACAAATTTTTTAGCATGAAGCTCAAGATTCCTTTACAGCAGAACTAGCTTTTGGGCTTTGACCTTGTCTTTTTTTCCAAAGAAACTTTTTACCCTGTTATTGTAAGAAGAAACTCTGTAGATAGTGTTAACAACTGTCATGGTTCCATCCTTTTACTCATCATCTGCATTATTTGATGCTTAAAAAATTTGTCAAGGCTATTTAATCACTAAATATCTCTTGTAGGCTAGTGAATCCATCAGGAAGGAGTATGATCAGAAATGTGACCAGCTCAGGCACCAATTTGCCAAGGATGTGAACCCTAAAGTAATGGACAAAACTCGAGCAGTTATAAAGGATCTCCATTCACGAATAGGAGTAGCAATTCATGCTGTTGATTCAATATCAAAGCGAATCGAGAAATTGAGGGATGAGGAATTGCAACCGCAGCTTGTTGAACTGATACAAGGGTAATCTTTTTTATTTCATTTCTCTTTGTAGATAAAATTTGATCTTGATGACCTAGATCATTGCTGTATTTTTGCTTAATATTTTTGCTCTATATCATCTGTGGATTAGATACCCATGAGGTGTTTCTAATTATAGAAAACATCAGATTCATGTCTGGTCGGCCCTCCGCAGATTGATCCGTATGTGGAAGGCCATGCTTGAATGCCATCATGCACAATACATCACCATCTCATTAGCATACCATGCCAAGGGCTCTACAGCGGGACCTCCTCAGGGCGAGTCTTACAGGCAGGTTTTGGCTCAGCTCCAGCATGAGGTTGAATGCTTTGGCTCAAGCTTTGCAGATTGGAATAGTGCTCAGAGATCATACGTGGAAGCTCTAAATGGTTGGCTCCAAAACTGTATCAGACTGCCCCAAGAACGCTCCAAAGGAAGGAGGGCATTCTGCCCTCGCAGGGCCCTTGCCCCTCCTATTTTTGTTCTCTGTCTTGAATGGTTGGCTGGGATCAAAGCCTTGCCATCTGAGGAGCTTGCTGGTGCCATCAAAACCTTCGCATCTGATCTGCACAGTTCCATGGGACAGAAGGTAGAGGAACAACAGAAAAAACAAGGACCCTCAGAATTGGACGATAATGGAGAATCAGGGACCAAAGATGAAACGGATGAGAAGTGCTCAAACCTCAGCAGCATATGTAAAAGCTTGACGAGGGTACTTCATCAGCTAACCAAGTTTGCTGAGGCTTCTGTAAAAACGTATGAAGATATCCGACAGGGAAGTGAGAGTGCTCGGCTTGCTTACATAAATGGCAGGACTACTTAGATTGTGAGGAGATTGTAATAAACCATATAAGCTGAAAACCTCTAAGAAGTGAGAAGCTAAATAAAAGCCTTCGATTTTTCTTGCAGATTGAGGGAGTAGATTAAAAAAATAGTGTGAAGCTGTAAAATGTTGACTAATAGAGGCCCTCTGCTGGGCGGTTCCAATTTGTACCTTTTTTTTCCCTTCTCAACGGTCAATTGGTCAATACTCCAAAATTTACCATTTTCTAGTATTATTCATTGACTAATATGATATCTTTATTTATTTGACGCGAGGAAATTTAGTTTAAGCATTTACTTTCCTTTCTCTTCACTCTACTCATCTCTCTCACCTCTTCACAAATAACACCGGTAAATGTAATTAAAAAATAGTGAAATTAAAAGTCAAATAGTTTTCATGGATCATCCTTGGTTGTGAAATTAATATTGCAGGTTTACCTTTGAGGATTGATGTGAAGGAAAAACTTGGGAAATAAATCAATTTTGGAAAAGAGATTTCAAGGGTTTGGGGTAGCGATTGGTCAAAAATAACTGCATAGGTATGTTGGACATTTTCATGTATCTTGTTAGAGGATTCTAACAGAAGAGGTCTACTTGCAATGATATCAAAGTTCATGGAAGATTTCAACAATGATCAGAAACTTTAGGGGAGGTTTTAGCAATTTTGAAAGTGCTTTTATCCTTAAACCATTCAAACATTGGGCAGGGATCTACTACCAATAAAACGTTCCCATCATTGTCCCAACAAGCCACTGCAGCCGCACATTGGGAACATCTCAATTGTCATTCATGGGGAGATGTTCCCACTTCCCAATGTGCCATTGTCATGGCTAGTTGGAACAGTGTTGTGAACCTTCTTTGTTAGCAGATCTGAACTCGCTAACATCATCCAAACCTTTATACGTGGTTTCCTATAAACAAAACAAGGTGTTTTTTAAATCAAAATAAAATAGCACCAGTAGCTCAATGAATGAAAATTCTCTGCAAATGGCTACTTGCAGGTAGAAGGGAAGTTTGTTTGTGTGTGTGTGAGAGAGAGAGAGAGAAAGAGAAAAAGAGGAAGAGTTATCACCATCACAAGTTACAATTACAAGGGAAATTTGTAGAATAGGATGTATGCATCAGAGTCCATGGAGACCAAATTTGCTCCTGAAGAAGCATGCCTCACACCAAATTCACAACATTTGCAACTGCACATTAGGAATGTCTTCCATACTTGTATATTGTCATTCATGAGCAATACACTATCGCAATGTGCTGTGAAGCACACTCTGTGAGGAGCAAATCCAAATTTGAGTCCATGGCTCAAAAATCAAAATATCAATACTGATGCACAAATTCCAAATCACATTACTCTTTTTTATTTTCATTTTTTCAGATCAGTGTTTTATGCGATACACTGGTCGGTGCTCGTCAATGTATGAACTTTGTTAATTTTTGGCTTGGATGGGGTTTGTAAATTTTTATTATTTATTAACTTGAATTATATTTATATTTAGAACTTGTTTATTTTAAAAATAATTTTAATTGATTTAAAATTTTATTAATGTAATTATATTTGGTAAAAGAATTAAACCCCCTTGATATTTCATCTAAATACGGAAACGTCCCCAGTTTTCAGATTGAACTTAAGCCTCCCCTCTTAGATGACATTAGCGGACAAAATTCTCCCATCGTTAAACTCTCCATCTCTGTTAGCGCGGTTTAGGTTTACTTAAAATCCCAATGATGCCCTTTATTATTTCTTTACGTTGATTGTATCTTAGATAGACACAAACTTCTCTTCACCAACAAAAGGCAACCTTGAACAAAGGACCTTGTTTATGAAAAGGTATTGTTTCTTGGTAGTTCTTATGAACTATTTTCTTTCCTAAATATACACAACCAAATGTGAACGGGAAATGTACCCTTTTGCTATTAAATTTCTAATTTCAGATTTTTCTTTTGAAACTATGAAGATAGGTGGTTTAGTGGATAGATGCAGCTTCGTTGGTAGTTAAGTTTTCACTATTAGAGATGATGGTTTATAAATCTGAGAGGGAAGGTGTAAGTCCAATTTGAAAAATGAGGGGGTGTTTCAGTATATCAGGGGAGATTTAAGTTTTTTTTCCAATTATTTTTAAATGGGATTTAAGTGAATATACATTAATCAAATAGGTTTCTTGTCACTAAAACGACCATTTAATCTGACCCCACTTTAATTTTTTTAAATACCAAAAAAGTTAATTATTTTTCAAATTTTATAGATAATAAATTAATATAAATATAACATGCTGAATTTATATATATATATATATAATATAAATTCATATATAACATGATATATAAAAACATATTTTTAGTTTTAAATAAAATTATAGAAAATTTATACATTAAAATTAATAAATATTATAATATAGTTGGATTTTAATCGGATGGGATGGAGTCGAATCTGAATCCAATCCGATTGCATAAACACATTATTTGAATATGAGATCTTCAGGTATCATTGACATTTGACAGATCTATTCACACCCATACATAATAGGAGTTATTGAAAACAAGTTTGAGGAAACCCATAGCACTTGTCTTTTTACCTAGAATGAAACAATTCAGGTTCTACAAAACTCAAATCACATAGAGGTCACATTAGTGACCATATTGATCTGAAAATGGATGGAATTCCTTCTAAACTAAAAAACATCCATGCTTAATAGAATCCCGACCACCAGTTGGCAGGTTATGGATGATTGGCTCTTGCCTCATATGATGGGAATGAGAATTAAAATGTTAATGTGAATGGAAAATCAATGATATGCTCATAGTATTCAATTTTTAGAACAATAAAAAATATATTGAAGGGGTGTTTATTAATGTTCAAATTATTAGGAGTATCAAAAATATAATTTTTAAGATGTGTATTAGAATATGCTTTGAATACATATGGGCAAGGTGGAAAAATGTCACACGCACATAGATATACAAGGATATGTTGTGATTTGTGAAGAGTCAAGTAAATCCGAAAAGTTACATTAAGACACTAAATCTACACCTTAGATGATCATATATGAGGTATATTTATGCCATATAAAGTAGATATTTGTTTTTGGGCTCCATGCAAGTCATAAATTTAAATCCAAATACCTTATACTATATATTTCGTCAATACTTGTACATGTGCACTACACATACATTTACAATAGTAATACATTAAAAAAATGCATACTTTAAATCGTTTATGATAAGTATAAATTATCAGGAAACAATAGGGAAATGTTGAAAAGTGATAAAATAATTAATATGCACATGCACGTATAACTTAATCTCTATTGATGAGGGCGGATTTGGCCCTCCAATGACATTATGACACCCGGTACCTCATGACAAATAAGTGCAGCCTCTTGACAATTAGGTAGCTCGTCATATGCAGCTCACCCTTATGTACCCTGGCACCTCAAAACAAATAGGTGACACCCGGGACCACTTTGGCAACAATTTGCCTTTGCTAAGTTAATGGTGTCCCACTAGGCATAGCCTGGCACAGGCGCGGTCTGGCACAGGTGCGACCTAGCACGGGCACGGCTTGGCACAAACGCGGCCGGGCACAGGCGTGGCCTGGTGCAGGCGCGACCTGGTGGCCTAACCCTGGCGCGACCTGGCCTTGGCACGAGCTGGCAACCTGGCCCTGACGCGAGCTGGCGGCCTGGCATAGGCGTGACCTGGTGGCTTGGCCCTAGCACGACCTGGCCTTGGCACGAGCTGGCAACCTGACCCTGGTGCGGCCTGGACCACGTGCTAACCTAACAACCCCGAGGAGCTCACCACCGTACCCTGCGTTTTACAGGATTGTGACACAACTGGCTTTATCCTCACCTAACACGAAAACAGGTCCCGTCACATCAGGAATCCAAGAACTGCTCCACCAAACCCACGAGGACTCCAGTATATAAAGGCCTCACCCCCCAGGGGCGAGGGATGATGGTAGCCCCTGCTCTCTAGCTCTCCCATTCTCTAATATCATTTTCAGCCCGCTACTAAGTGTTGACTTAGCCATCGGAGTGATCTCGTCGGGTAAACACCCCTCGGTTCTCTGATTTAGTTCTCGCAGGTCCCTCAGCTCCCGTCGCCTACAAAGATGAGTAGATCATCGCCAACAGGGAGTAGTCAGTTCAGTTTCTGTCGCTGCTGGTAGCTAGATCACCTCCAGCAGGAAGCAGTTGGGTTGCGCTACGCTAGGGAGCTCCACTTTATCCCCTGAGTCACAAGCCACTTGGGAATAGACGAGCTGACAAGGTACTTAGCCAAAAAAATAATACGTGACCAGAAACCGTTACATCACCTATGAAGCTAATATAACTTTTGTTAATATTTATAAATATATATATTTAATAGTCAAATGTTTATTAAAATTTGTTGATGAACATGCACTACAAACTACAAAGAGTATATGTAAGTTAGAACTCTTATGGTTGGGCTTTAATCTATTTGGTTGTACTTTTTTGTGATTGCAAGATTTATTTGGTTTAGTATAAAGATAAGGAAATTTTCAACAGACAATTTAATAGCGTATTTGAAAGGATAATGTTGATGTGAGTTTTTGGAAGAGAGGTAACTTCAATGTAGGTATGTTATTTTGATTTGATAACTTCAATGTAGGTATTAATGAGAAAGAAGGGGACTAGGCTGCAACTTGGGCTGGGTTAGCCCCAGGAAAAAAAAAATCGTATTGGGTTGGGTTAGGGTTGAGGGATTGGCCAACCTGAACCCAATTAATCTTTATATTTGAAAGTATATAAACAGTTATTTATATAAGTATTTATAAATAAATATATATATATATATACACGTTTGTATGTATGTATGTATGTATACATGCATGCAGCATGGATGTATACGTGCAACTATGTGTATGTGTGAACTTATAAATAAATATTTACGTTTGTATTCATGCATGTATTCAAAATATTTAAGTTTAAAGATAAAGTTTTTCATAAGCATGATAATTATGTCATTTTTTATATAAAATATCAAAAGATTAACCTCAATAAAAACATTTGGCAAAAGGAAGTAGAAAAGTCAGGCCAATCCAAGTCTAACCCAATTTTTCAAGTTAGATTAGGATTGACCTCAATCCGACCTAATCTCGCCCAACTTGCACTCCTAATTAGGGGTGTCAATCAATCAGTTTTCATTTGGATCGAATCTTATCAAAACGGATTTAGACGGTCCATTATAATTATTGAATTAGATCAATCCAAAATAAATTGGTCCATATTCTTATGGGTTTGAAT